TGTTCTGAGGAGAAGAAAAGGGGAGAATGAGGGGAAGGTGTGTGTGAGAATGGAACTGGGAGGAGAGGAAGGGTCTGAAATCAGAATGTAAAGTGAGTAAGTAAAGTAATCAATGGAGAACAACAAGATGTAAGGCTGGAAAGGATCTCGGAGGACCTTGTTTGTTTCCTGTGCTAATGTACGTAGAGTTTGGTTTGAGAACCAGGGTGATGGGGTGTCACTGGGCAAAGGAGTACACATTTGCATTTAGAACAGTTATTATGAGGACTATGGAAAATGCATTGGCACTGTCATGGAACAGTATGGAAGACAGAGGCAGGGAACCAGACTGGAGGTCTGGCATTGGTTCATGGGACAAGGGTAAGGTATAATTCTTTCATCAACAGGCTTTGTATTTAGAAACTACTGAATAGGTTAGCTTAACAAAATGTCTCTGTGGCTAAAGAAAGAGATATGAGTCTAGAATGATTTATGGGTCCAAGTCTGATTACTGCTAGGTAATTGTAAATATTTTAGGGAGGTGAAGGTTGGGAAATATAGTGTTATATAATTTGGGGGACATTGTTAATTTTTAAATGATCCTAGTATCTCTTTGGAATGCATAACAAACCACTGATTAAAGTCTCCAGTTTAGAAGAGAGGGTCTGGTTTCAGTAAGAAAATGTGCTGATTGTTAAAACTATGGGAGTAATGGGGAATAATTGGCAAGAGGTTGCTGAACATGAAACCCTTGTCTTAGCTACTGTACTTCTGCTGTGATGAGACACCATGACCAAGACAATTTTTTTAAGTGTTTAGTTTGAAGCTTGCTTACAGTTACAGAAAGGGAAATCCATGGACATCATGGTGGTGAGTATAGTAGGAGTACTTAGGCATGGTGCTGGGGCAGTAGCTGAGAGCTTACATGTTGATTTCAGGAGGCAAAGAGAGAGAGAGTCAACTGGGATGGTTTGAGATTTTGAAACCTCATAGCCCATCCCAATGTCACACCTCCAATAAGGCCACACCTTCTAATCCTTCCTAAACAGTTCCACCAACTAGGGACCAAGCATTCCAACACAGGAGCCCACAGAGCCATTCTCATTAAAACCATCACACATTAGGAACACTAATATTTAGTAAGAACCTAGAACTAGATTTTAAATGCTAGGACAAGGTGGAGGAAATGAAAAGGTATATTAAAGGTAAAGGGACAAAGTAAAAAAAAGAGGAATTTCTCCTTTGCTCAAGAATTATGGAGAAGTCAAGACAGAATGAACCATGTGAACTGGATTATTCACAAGAGGTCACTGGTGATTGTCCTACTGGACCAATAGTAGAGTAATAGTGTATAGAGTAGAGTCCTGTTGACACAGTGTTTGGGAGTACACCGAGGTCAAGAAATGGACATAGATCATTATCTTAGGATGCTGAGAAAGAGAGATGAATATGTGGAACTTTTTAAATTTTGTGCATACACAATTATTAAAAGATGACTTAAAAACACTTCAGAAATGGAATAAAGGCATGTGGAGGCTGGCAGTTCATGAGTTCTCTAGATGATGGACTCGAGTCAGCAATGGAAACAAGCTATGAGTAAAGGAATTCATTTCTGGAAGGGAGGGAAAAAAAAAACAACTATGGATAGTAGAGGCTGTGGTTAAGTTTATGTGGGAAGTGTCATAAGCCTCTGACTTCCCGGAGGGGTTCAATTTGAGTTGGGCAGGGAAAGATGACTGCTGGAGAGAACAGGCTGAGGAGCAGAAGGTGAATTGTCTAAGAGTCATTAAAAGGAGAAAAATTTTACATGGGATGTCTAAAAACATTAGGTGCCCAGATGAGCAGTGGCTGCATGGCAGTCTCCTGTTCTCCAGTAGCAATGTAAATTTTCTTAGAAACCTGCTAGACAGATTGATTATTCTGCCCTCCACAGATAGCACGTTGTTTGTGCAAAAAAAAAAAAAAAAAAAAAAAAAAGGGGCCACACATGTGATCTTGTGTTGTATAACCTGCTTAGAATCCCCATGTGAGATTTCAAAGCGCCTAAAGATAAGTCTCACTTTTTTTTTTTTCATTATCATATCCCTCTGCCCGGTCAGTGTTCTCTCGAGGTTTTTCCTAGCAACTGCTGACTGCATCACTGCACGTGTGTGCTATAACCTATAGAGGAGGCCTCTTTGCCACTGCACAACTATGCTTACGACTGACTTGGGGAGGTTTGCATTGGTGCCATGTTGATGAAAGTTGTGATGCCCAATATTTTTGGCATTTGATATAAGTTAACCTTCCCCGATGGTTTCTTTGGTAGTTTGCCTGTAACTCTGGCACCATCCTTGGATAAGTTTCCCTGCTCTGTGGAAGAAGACTGCTACAGCATGTCTTATCTATATGAATTTTCTCGTGTTCATTATTTACTGTCAGTTACGCCTTGTCTTAGCCAAGTTTTTCCTCAGAAGATGAAGAGCCATATAGGCGATATTACTTAGTGTTTTCAATAACGCGTTTGTAAATGAAAAGGTTGCATTTAACATCTGGAGGGATATTTGGGGCTACTTTTATTTACCCCTTATTATTGCGAAGGTTGTCTTGAGTTAGCCAGGTCAGATTTACTTTATGTTTTACCGATAGCATTTTTTTCTCCTTAAATTGCTCCAGCTATGAAATGGGTATTTTTAATTATTATTATTATTGCAAGAAGGAAGTAATACAGTGCAATTTATACTTCATGTATTCCCTGAAAGAGGTATATTCCAAACAAGTTAGAAAATTGTGGAGTGTTTGTCAGCCACCTCATTCTTACCTGGGCTCTGTTGGGGAGGGGGGTATCTCATAGGATGACCGAGCTCTTCACTTGTGTCTTCTGGGAAAGAATGATTTTGAAATGACTCATCCGAATATAATTTTTTAACTTTGAAATGACTCATTGCTGCTACAAAACGGACATAATCAAAATTTTAACTTCGCTCCTTAAAGAACAAATCAGCAAGTAGACAAAATCACTTTTGAAGGCAAATCAGTAGAGCAGACATGTTTATAGGCAAGTAAGAATGCTGAAAGGATTTATTAATGGATGGTAAAATTGGTCAGTGTCTTCAGTTTTTAAAAGTTGATGTTGTTTGCAGTCCTCTCTATGAGGTGTAAATCAGCCATGAAGCAAAATTTCTAACTCTATAGAAAAATCTTGTGCATGACACTTAATTGCAAAAGCCTAATCAATTTTAGACACCCAGGTTGAATTCAGTGAAAGCAGAGCCTATCTAGAATCTCATGATTGCAGGTCTGTTAGATAATGCCCAGCACCCACTGAGAAGACACTGGGTACTTTCTGTGCATTTCAGAATCAGGTATTTTCTGACACTTGCCATCCATCCTTTGTAATTGTGGCGTCACCCCTCCCGCCCCATCTCTCTTTGTACAATAAGGTTCCTTGCCTTTGGTTGCTCTTTCTCCAGGGAAATAACACAAAACTCCAAGGGTGTAGTGAATGTAATTGGACATTCAGGTTTTGCCTGGAGCTTCCTGATATTTGGGTGGCTAAAGATCTAGAGAACTGGGAAAGGTGAGCTGTGGGTGCCCCCAAAGCTGCTTCAGGTGGCCCATTGCCAGGAGCGCTAAGAGGGTCCAGCTCGTTAAGTAGATGCCACGGTGTCCATTTTATGCGGTCACGGTGTCCAGTTTGTGCAGCATGGTGTTGCTTAGGGAGCATTTCTTGGATGTTTCTCCGGTGGTGCTCCCAGTGTTCTAGGAACTCGCCCACTCTCTGAGCTGATCCTCCTTATTAAACCATGCTATAGAAAAATGAATTGCCTAGCACTGCACACCAGTGTGCTAGGCAGAGGACTTGTGCTTGGGTCTTCTTGAACACAGTCCAGATTACATTCCAGTATAGAATGGAATTATATTCATTATATTCAACCTGATGGGCATTTATTAATAATTCTACTCCTACAGTAACATTTTATGTCCTCGATTTTATTTCTAGTTTATATAGAAGGAGGAGTTATTAAAGATTAACAGAGTTAATGTTTTATATTCATTGGTACTTTGGGTTTTGAAGGAAAAGTCAACAGGCGACTTAGGTAAGAGCTTTGATAAATGTCCACATCATATAATACAACTGGAGTTTCTCCACATCTTTGCCATTTGAGTCCAATGGTGAGCCTTGTGTATGGCATGGCAGTCAGGGGTGGGTTATGCTATTGACAAGAGCCAAGGGTTATTCTTATTCTTGGTTTCAGCTTGTTTCTTGGCTTTTGGGGTAGTTTATAGTTTATTGGAGGAAGAAATAACCTCTAATCTACATTTCAGAATTGTTCTGTAGATTCAATGAAATGTCGGGGGTAGGAAAAATGCCATTCAATTGTGTGTAATCCTTTGTGAGACTTGCATACAAAATGTCTATCGCTGTCTCTTTTGAAGCAGGAAATAGTCACAGAGAACTTTTTTTTTCCTCGTTAGCATTCCAAGGCTTTCCACCCTCTTGGAAAGATAAGATTTGATTCATTCCAGTTGCTTTGTATATTAAAGTATAATAGAACTGGCCAGTTTTTTTTTTTTTGGCTATGCAGCCTGAGTGCAGAGATAAATTTCATATCACTTTAGCAAGTTCCATCTAGTAGACGTGTATAGAAGTTGAGCCCGGATAGAATACTAGGTTTTCTCTTCAGAATGTTCCCACAGTAAGGACAGTATTTCCCTACATATATCAGTAAGCAGACACGATTACTTCAGAGCTTTCAAAGCTAGATACCATACCTTGCGTGTCCCAACACAATTGGTAAATATATTCCTAAGATGCATGGTAATATATACCTTGTATTATTAAGACTGGATAAAGAAAAGTTACAGTCTACTAGCTAGTGCGCAAATAATCTGTTGCTGTTTTTCACCGTGTTCCTGTACTGGATGCTTAAATGAATAATTGAGGTATTTTTCTTTACAATAAGGGGGTTTGTAATACATCTAAGGTAATACCTTGCATATACATATTACAATGAAATATTTTTGTGTCTGTATTCCAGGTTCAGCTCAGCTGCTGTTTAGTAAAGTCAAGTCTGTAGAGTACACTCTATGCAATAAAACTGTCGTCATTCCTTGTGTTGTCCTTAACGTGGAGGCCCAAAGCACTGAAGAAATGTATGTGAAGTGGAAGTTCAACAGAACATACATCTTCATCTACGATGGAGGCAAAAACAGCTCCACTCCAGACACTAACTTCAGTAGTGCGAAAATCTCGGTCTCAGACTTACTGAGAGGTGATGCCTCCTTGAAAATGGATACGAGTGACGCCGTCGTGGGGAACTACACGTGTGATGTAACAGAGTTGTCCAGGGAAGGCAAGACAGTCATAGAGCTGAAGTACCGTACGGGTAAGTGACGCACTTGGTCTGTTCTGAACCGCGTGTTGCCATAGGATTGCCACTGTGGGAGTGCTCTGAGGCAGGGCCTGGAAGAAGTCACTAGGAGAGATTAAAGCATTTCTCAGGCAGGTGGGTTAGCCATCTGGAGGGAAAGAAAGTCTGACACTCTTTCACATACACACACTCACTCTTCACCCAGTCCTTTTGCAGTGTTGTGAGGTCGCACAAGATCCTAACCGGAAACTGAGCAGGTGCTACCAGCATGCCTCAGAACCAGGAACCAAGTTAAACTGCTTATAACTCACCCACCCCAGTAGACTGTTACAGCCCGGGAAGACAGGCTTGTAAAGAAAGTAACAGTAAAACACAAGACTTGTGTCCAGGCCTCCTGTGTCCCTATTAGAAAGGAGCACAATAGTAGCCAGACAGCTTGGCTGCCATCTACAGCTCCGTCACTCCGGAGCACGGCCCAGCCTGAGCTATTCAAGTTTGAGGCTAGCCGGAGTAATAGGAAACCTCGTTTCAAAAGCAACAGGAAGTGGAGGGAGGAAAGGAGAAAAGTGAAATAGAAAATTTTTTGAACCAAATTGCTGACCATTAATAAAAGCCCAGTGTTTGGTTGCTTCCAGTTCTCTCCTACACACTTCTCTGCTCTTCCCAAGTAAAATCCGCTTGCTTTTCCATCACTCATATGTTGCGTGGCCCCGTCTTGGTCTTAGGGCACTATTGAGGGAATAGGTGTTTCTGTTTGTTGTCATCAAATGTACTTTACCTGAGTGTGATGGCCCAAGACTGATCTCCGCACTACAGATGCTGAGGCAGGAGGATTGTTGTAAATTTGAGGTGAGCCTGAATCACATAGTGTGTTCTAGACTACCCAGGGCTCCAAGTCAAGACCTCACTTCACCAAACCAAAATAAACTCTTGCAAACGAAATGTACTTTTTGTTATTCTATTAATTTGTAAAGTTCCTCCTTGTTATTTCATCTTTTTGTGGTCTTATAGCCGTCAACCCTGACCAAGGATCAGCCTGTTCTAACCACACTACCCCGGCAGGGGACGAGAAGGAGAAAGGAGGTTGCAGATTAGGTAATCATGCTGATTCCTGGAGGCTTCTGTGGCCCGCTACACTTGCCAGCACACTGGGGAAGCAGGGATTCAACGTAACCGAATTGAATTCAGTCTTGGTGCTAGCGCCCAGACTTTTCATGAGTGGGTTGGTGAGTTGTGGACAGCAGTGCTGTTAATTTGAAGTAAAACAGTCTTCTTTTTATTCTTTTTTTTTTTTTATCTTTTTTTTTGCTGTGCTGGCTGATTATTTTTTTCAGAACCACATACAAGGAGTCCTAACAGTTTTATTATTTTTTTTTATTATATAGTATTTTTATTTGATAATTTTAACTAAATTTTTATTTTTTATATTAATTACAGTTTATTTACTTTGTATCCCAGCTGTATCCCCCTCCCTCATTCCCTCCCAGTCCCATCCTCCCTCCCTCATCTCCTTCCTGCCCCTCTCTAAGTCCACTGATAGGGGAGGTCCTCCGCCCCTTCCATCTGACCCTAGTCTATCAGGTCTCTTTAGGACTGGCTGCAGTGTCCTCCTCTGTGGCCTAGCAAGGCTGCTCCTCCCTTGGGGGGTGGGGGAGGTCAAAGAGTTTGTCTTAACCTCTACTTAAATCACCAGGTGTATGAATTACCAATCTCAGAGTTGATGACACAGTGAGGACCAGCTCTGGGTGGGATCAAGATGGCTGAATTAGGTCAGCTACTTTCCATCTGTTCTCCCTTTTAAAATTACAAAGTATCTGTTAGCAGATTGGGAGGGGGAGGGTGTCGTGATTAAACATTCTGACATAGGGTTAGAGACCAGGCAGTTTGAGTTACATGCCATATTCATGATTCAGTGTTCACCCACGTCATCAAGGAAGATTTGAGTGGAAGACTCCTAGTCTTCCACTGCCTAGCTAGACTGCCTAGCTCTAAGATGAGGATGAACATCTTGTTTTCTTGGGATGTTTATTCTATGTGGTATAAACTTGCTGCCTGGAAGTCTGCTGAGAAGGGAAGGAATGGCTTAGGAGGCAAGAGGAATGTGGAAAGCCTTTCTGCGTAGAATCTTACATATACTGTGATTTTATGATTAATGCTAATTTGGATTAAAGAGACTTTCTTTCCTCCTCCTCCTCCTCCTCCTCCTCCTCCTCCTCCTCCTCCTCTTCCTTCTCCTCCTCTCCTCCTCCTCCTCTTCCTTCTCCTCCTCCTCTTCCTCCTCTTCCTCTTCTTCTTCTTCTTCTTTCTTTAATGTCTGCCTTTCAGGAGAGTCTAGTCAGTCCACAGGCATAGGATCTAGTTGGAGGTTTTCTGAGAGAGTAGATAGGTACATAAAAGTGAAAGGGCTGACTATTAGAAACAGTGATGTGAGTCACTGAGAGGAAACATTAAAACAAACAAACTAAGTTTCACACTGGAAAAGCCAGAAATGGAATGGAGATGATGGGAATGGAATTCCAGTGTCTGACTTGAAGACAGTTTATTTTGTATGTAATTGCTTTCTCCTTGTCTTCAAGATATCCTCACAGAACTGAGACAGGCTTTGTTTTGTACCATTAAGATGAGAAGATTCTGTTGTATGCAACATAAGAATTCTCCCAGAAGCTTGAAGTTTCTGACTTTTTACCCATTTGAAAATATTTTATTTAAATAACTAGAGATGTGCTTACTTCAGCCTCTTTATATAGCTGTGCCATGATATCAGAACTAGGTAGTTCACAGTTGTCCTATGTAAAGGGGTTCTCTGTCATCCCATTGCATTTTCCTAACCACCATTTGATTGCAATACGGTGCTGGTAAATCAGCACAAACATCCCTGTGCCTACCCTCAGTCACCCATCACGCTGAGTTACTCATGATTGGCAGGCACTAGTGTGTCATCCACATCTGACAAAGTCTTGTCAATTCAATAATAATTCATCAATGAATTACTGAATCATAATGAATATGTATGAATTCTAATCATGAATAACAGATGATCATCTAAGGTATGCCCACTCGGCATGATGCCCTAGAGACGGTGGGTTTCTTGGGTTTGACTGTATTTATTTGTTTGCTTGTTGGTCAGTATAACACATGTTCATAACACATACTAACCCAGTGGGTTTTTAGCAAAGTGTATTCCATTGATTTCTCATAGCTTATTTAGTCATTCACCTGTGCAAGACATGTTGATCATTTCCAGTTTCAAGTTATCCGTACTTTGAAAGGAACCGCTAACAGGTTTCCAGAGAGTGGCTGTTCGTTCGTTGTTGTCAACAATAAGAATGACCTAATTTCTCTCTGCACCTTTGTTGTGATCAGGAGCCATGGGTTGGTAACATTTTCCCTTTTTTAAAATTGTGACTGTTGTGGTTTTTAAGTTAGTGTAAAATGTATTAAATATCATTGTGGCATTTTCAGAGTGCATTTTAGTAGATTCTTTTGCCCCTTCATCTCACTACCCCCTTTCTGGTCCTCTCCTGGTAACCCCTCCCCCAGTCTCTTTGACTCTTTCATGCACTGTGCGTCTTTTTGCCTACTTCTTATTGTTTCTAATCACCCATTCTCAGCACTTCTTGCTATCTTCTGTAGCATTTTAGACTTTCCGCACATTTATACCCATACACTTACACCCACACCCACAACAGGCTAGGATGTACTTGTGAAAGAGAACGTGTGTCTTCTGTGTTTCCAGAGCCACCAATTTTCCTGCAAGCTTAATTATTTTATTTTTTACAGCTGAATAAAAACCTTTTGTGTACGTAGGCCGTTTTTCATTATCTGTTCGTTATTCGTTTAGGCCGGTCCCATTTCCCTTCTTTTGCGAGCAGTACAATAGTAACATGGACGTGCAGCTATCTTCCGTGGTAGGATAACCAATGACTTGAGATGTGTCTAAGAGTTACAGGATAGTTGGGTTGTTTAATAGCTTTTTCAAGTATTTTGAGAAACTGTTGTAATGGCTGTACTTGCTTGAACTACCACCACCAATAAATAAGGTTTCTTCTTTCCTTGCATCCTCATGAGCATCTGTTGTTAGATTTCTTAATGACTAGGATGAGTTGCTAACTCCAAGTAGCTGTAATTTGCAATTCCCTGATGACTAAGGATATTGAACACTTCTAAAAATACTTGTTGGCCATTTGTGTTTCTTCTTTTGAGAATTGATTCTTTAATGGCCTATTCATTGACTATCAGATTTTTTTTTCTTTAGGTTTCACTCTTTGTAAATTTTGATATTAGCCTCCTATTTGAAGTATAGCTGTTAAAGATCTTCTCCCATTCTGTAGGCTGTCTTTTGCCCTGGCTGATAGTTTCTTTTTCTGTGCAGAAACTAGTTTTATGTTATTTCATCTGTTGATTCTTGGAGGTGGTTCTTGCACTATTACAGATCTATTCGGAAAGTTCTTACCTATATGTTTATCTTGAAATGTATTCCCTATATTTTCCTTTAGCAATTTCAATGTTTTGGCTTTTAAATTAAGGTGTTTGGTCCAATTCTAGCTGATTTTTTTTTTGTACAGGGTAAACAAAATGGATCTAAAGATTCTACAGGAAGATACCCAGTTTGGCTGTCATTATTTTCTTGAATATGCTGTCTTTTTTCAACTGCATGTTTTTGATACCTTTCTCCATCTTATTTTCCACAGATGTTATAATTTTTATTCTTCCTTACAGCTATATAAAACTCCATTGTGTATATGTACCATTTTTTTTATTAGTTTATTTCTCTTTCTGAGAACTCTCTGTTCACTTCTGTAACCCATCTGTTGACCAGATGAATTAGGAACATTCTGGGGTTTAATTTCTGGAGTTCTTTGTAAATTTTAAGTGATAATCCCCTGTCCAGTGTATTGTTGAAAAGATATTCTCCCATCATGTAGGTTGCCTCTTTGTTCCTAGAGTCATTTTTGAGGGGAGAAAAGGACTGTCAAATAAATCTTGGCATGCAACATTATTTTGGGGAGAATATGTGTTTGTTACTATAATGATGCTTATTTTGTGGAATTGGAGATTTAGGTATTAGAAATCATTTTTACTGTGTTGTGCTTTTTTACAAATATAAGCATAAATGAGAAAGAGAAATTGTCTAGGATGTAATTGAATTCCACTCAGTAGAACACAGGTAATGGTGACCATTTGTTGCTTTGGCACACAGGGGCTGAAAATGTGTAAACACTGTATGACATTCATGTGTTTCTAGGCCAGCGCTTCAGGCTTTGAGTTTAGAGAGAACGTTTTATTTTTTATTTTGTTTTATATTTCATCATTTCCTAACATAGGAAAAGTTAAGAGACTCAACTTACCCTATCTTCAGGGTCTTTTAAATTTGTTTTTATTAATATTTATTAAATATGATAGTGGTTTTGATCATGATGTTTTTATACGTGTGTATAATACATTTTGATCATATTCCTCTCCCTTTCCCTCTCTTTCTCTTCCTACTCCTACTAATCCCCATTCTTCTTCCCACGTAGTCCCCCATCTACTTTCATGTCCTTTTTTGAATATGTGTACATAATCTAACGGCTTTCGTTAGGATTGCTCATAGAAAATTAGTGCAGGGTTTTTTACAAGAGCAAGAATGACCCACCACTGTGAGGAGTGGTGGACACCTGAGTGATGAAGTCTTGAATATGCCTCAGGCCCACAGGAAAATGGCAAAGTCTGCCATCGCCCCGGGGTTGGGGTGAGGCTCAAAGTAATGGCAAAGCCTTGTCTGGTCTATGTGTGGATACTGATAGTGTGTGCAGAAAATGCCCACCATAGCTTTTCTCCCCTCCCACTGCTATTTTATGGCCTGAAAACTACTCCCCTGGTGGAGACTCTTCCTGCCCAGGTTAGTGAAACATACCTCCTTGCTTCTCTGAGTGTCATAGCTCCACGTCCTTGTTTAGTTGTAAGTCTTGCCTCCTCATTCAGCTGAATAAAGTAAGTATGCTGAGCTTCCAGAGTTCTGAGGTTTCTCCATCAGAAACCTTTCCATCAGAGAGCCCATTCCATCCAGTTTTGGCTTTTTCTGACCATCCGGCTGGCTGGCTGGCTGGCTGGCT